ATATTGGCAACATGGAAAATAGAATTTAAATAAAATTTTAAAATATGATTGTTCAAAGGTGGTCTGCTTTCAAAAATCTGATTTAGGAGTGAAATTACATGTTACCCTTAAACCATACTAAATCTGTGGAATGTTAACTGGTGCTACAGTCAGAATGTGCGGTGAGCAGTTGCACATTAAGGCTTAACACCATTTCTTGTCTGCACAACTCTATTTGCCCTGGTGAGCAGGGGCGTGGCTAGAAGCCAGGACACCTGTGCTCTATCCCAGCTCTGGATGTGGGCTGAGGGGACTGGGAGTGGTACGTGCTTATTTTATCTCTGTGGAATAGACTGAAGTAATCTTAATATGAACTAGCTAGCACGGCCAAGAGTTAAACCTTGCCTGAAATGGTGTAATTTTGAGACAGTCAGAGGGCACTTAGCACTAACCAACTTTAACATGTGGACACTTGCATTTTAAGTGCCTTTAATATGGGCTAAGGGTAATGTGTAACTCCACCCTAAAATAAAACTGAGGAAGAGCGTTTTGCACCCAAATCCTTGTCTATATCTCTCCCAACTATATAGGTTGGTTCAATAAAATATATTTACCAAACAAATCCTGCTTCTAACCAAAAATGGAGACATTCATTTCAAAATAATTTTAATCTGATGGTATCTTATTACAGATAATCATATCTTCCCTGTATCTTTTTAAATAGTACAGATGGTGGTACTAGCAATTCTGTCCCCCTTTCTTCCTGAACTTAACTCTAAACTTGGAGACCTGATTCAAGTCCTCACTCAGGACATAAATGAAACTAGACTGTAACAATTTTATCAGAGCACTCACTTGTACATGTTACAAAAATGTTACAGAATTTAGGTCAAAAAATCTTTGTAAAAAAGGTCTAGAATTGGAATTGCAGGTAAGTGTTCCAGGTAAGGATTGGTGAGACTAAGGCAGCCAGCACACTTTTACTCTGTATTAGTTGGGCTTTCTTGATTTACTTAAAATATGCAATAAATGCACTTTATAACAAAAAATAACAGTAATCATGTGGCAAAAAATAAAAAGCAAAAAAATAGAAATAAATAATAATAAACTTTAAATTTGAGGCTAATATTACCTTATGTCATAGAATGAAATGTAATCACAGACTGAAAGACTGGAATTAATATTGATCTAGATATAGATCTCACAATTTATTTTTATCCTTTCTGACAAGTTGAGGGCATTTATTCTCAATAACTGTTACTGTGGAGTTACAGCAACATCAAAGGCCAGCAGAAGCAACAGAAGAATATGACAAAGTCAACTCCTCAGTCTAACTTGCAGCTTCTCATAATTCATGAGTTTCACATTGTTCCCATGAATTACAAGAGCCAGGTGATGTCACACCATTGAATTACAAGATATTTTTTGCATGGTTTGCTTTACATTTATCATAGCAATCCATATACCATATGCCAAAATACTATGATTAAATTAATGTTAAGGGTTTGAATTAAATCAATGAAAAATGTATTTATCATTAAGCCTGTAAACAAGCTGGAGTGTTTTTTAATTTTTGGTTAACAAGACAAAAAGGATTTTAACACGTTTAAGTGCTTTGTAAGGTAACATCCAAAGTCCCATGACTATTGGAATCTACTTGAAAGAGGAAGAATGGCTACACAACCATAACACTCTTTTTATTATAAAATCTATTAACTCCCAAATATTTATGAAAAAAATATTTTGTATTAGTCTTTACTTTAGATTCAATTATTGTTTTTAGAATATTAAATGTTCTGTCAATATTTAACTTGGAAAAATTAACTCAGAAGTCAGTCATTTAAGGGGCTCATACTCAATATTTATCACTGGTAAATTCTTAGAAATATTTTTCAACACAGAGTAGTTAACAAGCCTTCTACTGGTAAAATACACCGTGAAAAGAAATTAGTGTAGAACTAGCATTTGGACTCCACAGCCCTTCTCTAGCATTTTCTTAAAATTGCTCATCTTTGTAACATCATTTATGCAGATTCATCAGTGGACATAAGTGAAAGAGAACTAGCATACATAGGTTGCAACAGCTTATACCACTAAGTTAATTTTGGGTTAATGTACTAACACTTAGTCTACACTAAGTTCCATAGCTGTTACCATCAGTAAACATACACCTGTATATTGCAGTAGTAGGAAATTTTAAGAAAATGGTGCGTTAAATGCAGCTGTGGTATCCAGCCCTCTGAAGAAAATATGTATCATGGGGTAAAGAGCTCAGACTGTGGTGAAGAGCCATGCTATTCTTATAAAAACTTGTCCCAGGGTCTGTGAAATGATATTAAGTAGCCATAGTAAAATGCTTGATTCTGCACTCCTATTACAGTAAAATTCCTATTCAAATCAATGGGAGTTTTGCCAGCTGTGTAATAGAGCCAAAATTTTGTAATTCTATATTTGTGGCAGAAGGAAATGGCCTGCATAGGACTTGCACAGTTGAGTAGGAGATGGCGAGAAAAAAGGCATCCAAGAATTCTAACAGTAGGACAAACTCATAAATCAAAATAAAAAAAATAGTGAGCACAAAAACCTAATAATAAATACTAAAATCTTTAATGTCTATTTACTAGCAATTTTAGAATTCTAGAATTTTGTGAGACTGTATTGCTGTTTCAGGAGTGCTATTTGTAATTAATATAAAAACAAATTACTTTAAGCTCTTAATCATATACTTTGATTTGTTTATAATTAACATAAAAGCTTTTATTTTACTTTAATGTACTTCAAATTGGATGTTCAAATTACTCATTAATAATTAACCAGAACATATCTCAATGTATTTTTAAGTACAAAATAATAGTATTTTTTAACTAAATAAAGCAACCCACTCAGTTTTCTGTTTTCTAAGACATACATCTGCATGAGGCTAACAATTCTATTCATAAGTGGAAAATGCGGCTACTTTGACAGACCCTAGTTCAATAACAAGTATGCAGGTCGAAGTTATCACACAGTTTTGGATGTGAATTCAACAGCAGGATAATGACAGTTGCCAAGGATCTGTACTTGCTGTCGCTTAGTACCAGTGTTGCCTGTCAAATTGTCTCTTTTTCTTATACAGAAGCCATAGAATTTTTATGGATAGCAATTACTTACAGTATACAATGAAGTACATCAAATGTAACAACCACTCTTTAGCCCTTCATTATGTGGTTGTCTCTTTGTTATATCTAGTCATCCATTTTCACCTAAATTATTTATTTATACTGTATATTTGACAAGCATGTATTTCTTGCTTTATATCCTTAGAATAGTTAAAACCAAGCTCAAGACATATAATGATTTATTTTAATATTCTTATATTTAAACTTATCTTTATCTTACTATTATTTTAATAGTAATTAAACTTGTTGGACTACCTACAATCACTACACTCTATATACAAAACTAGCTTGTATATCCCTACATATATATCTTCATTAAACAATGGAAAAATAGATATATTGGCCCTAACTGCAATGGAATGGCTGTACAAAGTTAATATCTATTCATACTTAGTTTGTATTATTACAGTGTTTTCCTCCATGGATCATGTATATGTTTTATACCGAAAAGTACTAATATTACTTTGTTTGCCACCTAGGGTGTCTGCTCCAAATAACTGCATGATATAATATTTTAATGGTAGAGTATGCCATTTGCTTATACCTGTATCATTTCGATCCTGTGGCAGAAGAACATCTTCCCCATTAATTCTATGGACATGGTTTAATTGCAACCTGTTCTGATACCTTTACTGCAATAGACTTCTCATGACATCATCATACCACTGTTGTTATAATGCCAAGTCCAACTTTTATGCATAAGAAAGTTACAGCAAACATTATATACCCAAAACAAATTCTGGCATTATTTAAGTCAACAGTAGCTTTCCTATTGTGTTAAGCGGAAAGGCAGTTTTATCCTCATTTAATAGTTATTGCTTTAGTTAGGTACTGTTTTATCATGTACCTGTATATTTGTCCCTGGTGGAAAAAAAAAGATAAGTCACAAAGAACGTGGTTTAACTAGGCTTCAGTTGTCTTTCTTTAACACACTTAGGAGACTATCTGTTATGCCAGGACACGGGTGGACAGGTCTGGAGACACTCAGAGATCAAGGCAATGACTAGGCCTTGGATAGGTAAGTGGAATCTGAGGTCAAACTGGGTCAGGAAGCCAAGAGGGCAACCCAGGAGCAAAGCCAGGGACAAACCGAGTCCAGACATTGGGAGATCAGAGAATAAATTCCAGGGATGAGTAACAGA